AAACAACTTAGTCTGCTGTTGAATCATTTCCCCAAACAGGAAACCACAAAATATTAGTGAGTAAGGTCACTAGATCATTGGGAAAGGAACACAAGTGTGTCTGCAAAGTATTATGATGGCCTGTAAATGGGACAAACTATGGCAATTGAACTAGCTTTTTTAAAAGTAAACAAGACTCATTTGCAAAGCACAGCTTTCTCTGTATCAGCAGTGAGCCTGAAACCACTTCCAGCTGTTTCTATAACTTTTTAAGTAGAAGTATTCAAGAAGATGTAACTTGTATTTATGGGTTGGCCAATTACCTGTCTCCTCCCTAAGGCTAAAAATTAAAATGGAATCTAATATTTTTCTGTTGCCAACCATCTTTATAATTGAGACCAGAATTATGCCTTGAAATTTTGATGTCCAAACTGTTATTTATTCCAGTGATTAAGTTTTTAAATGGCATTGCATATCTTTAAAGGAGATAAAGCTGTATGTTTTTGAAAGATACATTTTACAGTTTAAAATTTATTCTGACATTTTTTTCAAGGTAAAATCACTCAGTGAAGTATTTATAAGAATGCTTGTTAGCTCAACATTTCAGATTTTTCTCTAACAAATTCCTTAGATTAAACTTCAGTAGCTTGAAAAATTCTGGGTTTTTTTGTCACCTTCGTATTGAAAGTAGGAGTGCGTATACACTGTACCGTTATTCCAGAATAACGGTCATTATTCCGGAGAAACAGTACTGGCGACCACACAGCAATTGTGTTATTTCGAAAGAAAATCGAAACAATGGAGGCTGTTTCCGATATTGGTAAACCTCATTCCATGAGGAATAACACGTCTTCTGAAAAAGCTTTTTTGGAAAAGAGTGTGTGTGGATACTCCATTGCTGTGATGTCGAAATAACTCCTCACCAGGGCCATTTTAAGTTATTCCTCCTCAGTGCCTCCTGGGGCTCTAAATCAATAGCGTGCCCACATTTGGGGAGCCTTCCCTGTAATGTGGATACTCTTGTTTCCGGAATAGCTTTTTCCAAAATAAGCTTGCAGTGTAAATGTACCCAAGGTGAAGAATGTATATTGTCAAGGGCCCTCTCCCCACCCCTAATTTCTGTCCTACACTTTATGGGGAATTCTGTACAAAGTTAATACAGATTTAATTGATAGTCCTAGTCTTCTGTGGATCCTCAATGTTTACACCATCAAGCATTCAAAATATTATGGTTGATTAAAAGTAATGATACTTTCTAAAGCATAATAAACTCCTGGCTCTTTTTATTTGTCTTCTGTGTCTGAGTTTTTAGAGTTTTAAGCTTTTCTTTGCAAACATGAGGTTAGGAACTGAAGCTGTGATTCTCATGATTTCAGGAGCTGGTGCTTTAAGAAAAAATCTGAACATTGTTACACTAGGTCCTCAGTATTTTAGGAGTCAAACTATTGGCTTTTCTTCTGGGGTAAGAACAAATGCCACAGTTCCTCTCAACCTCATCCACCAATAGAATAACTTTGGGGGAAACTTTATGAGGGGATCCTAACAGTTTTCACTTCCCCTAAAGAGACGATCATCAGGCCTCTGATTATCCATTTCTTCCTTGGTTTTATGGCCACAGCGTAAATTTCTACTTCAAAAGTCTGGAATAAATCTTGCTTGCTTCAGCTAGCCAAACTCCTAGATGTATTTAATATTAGGTACCTGGCATCAGTCAGTGCAATTTGAACATGTCTTCAATAAGACTTTATTTCTGTAAAGTGTGGAAGACAGAATGTCTTTAATAAAAGCATGATTACTTAGGAGCTTACTTCTTGTCAGTCTGCCTCACAGCTGACTTTCATGTGGAGGACTTTAATGTACTCTCAAAATTCTCTACAGAGTCAAACTGACATCCTCACTAGACACTGTATGCCCTAAATGGCTAGTGGAAAAAAACATAAGGCTAAGATAAGGCAGGGTCATAGTGTTGGATCGGGCATAGCTCTACAGCCATTAAAATATCTTCTGAATTTCTCATTGGGAAGCTGATGGAGTTTCTGTGGCTCAGTATCTATCTATCTAGCCTAGTACCTATTTGTTTAATAGGGCCCAAAATACTGGGACTAATAATCACTGGTAACCAGTTCCCAGAAATAGAAGGAAAGAGCAGAAGGAGAAATTGTAGTAACTTTTTAAAGGAATGAAATTGTGTTTAACTAATTTTTCTCCTCTGTGGTTTTGCCTCAGATATTACTATATTAGGGAATACTCATAAAAGTAGCTATTAGTCTTCTCTTTTTTGTAAATTCTTGTCAAATGACAAGAATAATTGATAAATGCCATTTTAAGTAATGATTTGCAGTCAGTCTAAAGACTTGGTGTTGGGAAAACCCAGAGAAATCTATATGAACTGTATTTCTTTCCTAGAAGTAAATTTGTCAGTAAGAAGCAATCAGACAAGTTAATGCTAGTTCAGACTATATATAACTTCTGTGTTAAAAATTCCTCAAGGAGTATTTTATAGAGGATTTGCCCGCGTTGTTTTAAAGCATAATCTAGTCTGTATAATACTGTTCTGTGCTCTAACCCGTACTCTGGGGCACACAACATAGATATAATTGTTCCCATACTGTTGAATATAACAGCTGCAGAAGATTTGCAGTGGCCATGAGGAATCAAAGTCTTTGAAGCAAAGCTCTTTATATAAACAATGCAATTATTTTATTGAACTAGTTTGGATTAACTTTATAGAGAAAGCTTTTAACTTTACCAGGATTTTTTGGTAACTGGGAATAAATAGCACACAGGAAATGTGTTCATATTCTTGACATAGAAAAGTCTTTGTTAGTTTGAGCGCTACCAAACTGCTTTTAGATCCTTAGTGATACAAAATGTAAATACTACTTAAATACGGAATTTGCAAAGAAACCTTACTCTGGAGTGAGGAGACTTTTTTTTTTTTTAAATGCAGATAATACACTCTTCCTTTGCTCCCCCCCCCCCCCCCCCCGACCCTGTTCCTACAATAATATTCACTCTTAATTTGAAGATTCAATCAATTTTATTTACTTTGGCAAGTGGGAAGATGATAAAGCCTGCAACCTCTCTCCACATTTCACAGCAACTGCACCTTAATTCCCTCTGTATGGTATGGGAAGTGGACCTACTCCCAGTTCCCTTGGCTATTGCCTTTCTTTGATGGAGATATGTATCTCTCTCCTTTTTGAACTGGGTATCTCCTGGCTGAACAGCTCCCTGGCTTGACTGTTTTATTCTTAACAAAACACAGACTGTCTAAGCAGCTGTCTCTTGTCTTCTCTTTGGAGAGTAATAACAGAATAATTGCAACAGTTACACATTACCATGTAACTCTTTCTGAGAGAGCTTATTTATTTGTAGGGTAAAAGCATTGTAGAGAATGTTAAATGAGAGCTGCTTAGGGTGATGTCATGGTGTAAGGGGTTGCAATAAACCACCTAATCAGGAAGAACAGGAGGAGGAGACTTTTTTTTTTTTTTTTGAACAATTAGCAAAGTAATCCAAAGCACTGGACTTGGCGGTGATGGGGGACTTCAACTATCCAGAAATCTGCTGGAAAAATAAAACGGCAGGACATAATTTATCCAACAATTTGTTGGAATGTATTGGAAACAATTCTTTTATTTCAGAAGGTGGAGAATGCTACTTGGAAGGTTGTTCTAGATTTGATTTTAACAATCAGGAGGACCTGGTTAAGAATTTGAAAGTGAAAGGCAGGATGGATAAAAGTGATAGAGTTCATGATTCTATGGAATGGTAGGAGGGAGAACAGCAAAATAAAGAGAAAGGATTTCAGGAAGGCAGACTTCAGCAAACTCAGAGAGTTGATAGGTAAGATCCATAGCAGCAAGTCAAAAGAAGAAAAACAATTGAAGACAGGTGGCAGTTTTTTAAAGAGAAATTATTAAGGGTACAAAAGCAAACCATTCCACTGTGTAGGAAAGATAGGAAGTATGGCAAGAGATCAGGAAATCTTGAATGATCTAAAAATTGAAAGGGAGTCCTATAAAAAGTGGACACTAGATCAAATTACAAAGAATGAATATAAACAAATAAGGTAACAAGAAAATATTCTACAAATACATTAGTCAATAACAGAAAATGTAGAAATGGCAAAGGCATTTAATGACTTCTTTGTTTCACTTTTCACCAAGAAGCTTGGTGGCAATTGGATGCCTAACATAATGAATGCCAGTGAAAATGGGGTAGGGTCACAAGCTAAAGTAGGCAAAGAACAAGTTACAAGTTAGATGTCTTCAAGTCACCATGTCCTGATGAAATCCATCCTAGAATACTCAAGTTGCCAACTGAGGAGTTAGCTGAGCCATTGGCTATTATCTTTGAAAAGTTATAGAATATGAGAGTAATTCCAGAAGAGTGGGAAAGGACAAATATAGTGCTCATCTATAAAAAGGGAAATAAGGACTATTTGGAAAGTTACCAACCAATCAGTTTAACTTCTGTACCATGAAAGATAATGACACAAATAATTAATAATAATTTGCAAACACCTAGAAGATAATAAGGTGATAAGTAACAGACATCATGCATTTGAAAAAAAAAAAAAAACCAACAAAAAATTTTCAGTCCAACCTGATAGCTTTTTTTTAACAGGATAACAAGTGTTGTGGATAAGAAGGAAGCAGTAGATGTGGTATATGTAGACATTAGTAAGGCATTCACATTACCTTCTCGTTAACAAACTAGGGAAATGCAACCTAGATGGAGCTACTATAAAGTAGGTGCATAACTGATTGGATAACCATTCCCAGAGAGCAGTTATAAGTAGTTCACAATTATGCTATAAGGGACCAAATGTAGGACTGGTTGTGTTCAATATGTCTCTAAAGTCATGCTTGGTGTCTTGAAGATTTTAGATTACTATACTCCAGAGGCTCATGTGGCCAGCCAGAGCTTAATGTACTCAATCTAAAATACTTTAGAGGTCAGTTTTGCTTAACTGCTTTTTTTCCTTTGATATTGACTGCTTTGTCTTTTTCCAGGTTCTGTTATACAGTGGGCAGCTTGATATCATAGTTGCAGCTCCACTGACTGAACGCTTTCTGCCTACTGTGCCCTGGAGTAAAGTGGAAGATTACAAAAATGCTGAAAGGTTGATATGGAAGATCCATCCCCATGACAAAGAGGTGGCTGGTTACGTGCGCCAAGCTGGTGAATTCTATCAGGTAAGGAAAAGAAGCTCTTGAAACATGGACTCCGTATAAAGAGTCTATTCTGAGGATATTACCCTATATATTTAATTTCCTTCAGAGCAGGGCAGATTTTATTGCAGCCTGCTGCTGTAAAGGCAGTGGATACTATGTCACCTGTGACTGACTGAAGCTTAAGCTTTGAATCAAGGGCCTTAGATAAATAAGCATCATAGGAGGGTAATGACTCCCCAGATGAAGGAAATTTCATTGAAAGATGGAAGAATTAAACCACAGTTTAACCAGTACAGGCAGTCCCCGCGTTACGCGGATCCGACTTACGTCAGATCCGCACTTACGAACGGGGCTTTCTCACCCCGTAGCTCGCAGGCAGCGGGACCGCCCAGAGCACAGCGGTCCCGCCACCTCGACCTCCGGGGTGAGAAAAGCTTCTCCGGGTGACCCTGGTATGTTGGGGACCGTCTCCTGCAGACCAGGGACACCGGGAGCAAAGCCACAGTGGCGGCGGGGGGCCGCTGCGGCTTTGCTCCCGGTGTTGCTGGTCTGCTGGAGACGGTCCCCCAGCAGACCAGGGACACCGGGAGCAAAGCCGGGGAGGTGGAGGGGTCCCGCGCCTCTGAGGCTTTGCCAGAGCAAAGCCTCAGAGGCGCGGGACCCCTCCACCTCCCCGGCTTTGCTCCCGGTGTTGCTGGTCTGCTGGAGACGGTCCCCAGCAGACCAGAGGCACTGGGAGCAAAGCAGCAGCGGGGGGGGGGGGGCCCCCGGGCGCCCCCCCCCCCCCACCAGACCCGGATTTTGTTGTGGACCCTGGGGTAGAGCAGCTGGGGTGCTACCGGGTTGGTCCTGCAGGGACCTACCTGGCAGCCCAGCTGTTCTGTCCCAGGCTCCAGATTCAGCTGCTGCTGCTGAAACTGACCAGGGGCTGACTACAGGAAGCTGGAGGCAGAATTGCTCTGCCCCCAGCTTCCTGGAATCAGCCACTGATCAGTTTCAACAGCGGCTGAATCTGGAGCCGGTTCCGACTTGCATACAAATTCAACTTAAGAACAAACCTATAGTCCTTATCTTGTACGTAACCCTGGGATTGCCTGTATTAGAGGGTTAGTCTGATACTGTGTTAATCTGAATCTGCAAAAGCGACAAGGAGTCCTGTGGCACTTTATAGGCTAACAGATTTATTGAAGCATAAGCTTTCTTGGGCAAACCCACTTTGTGGGTCAAAGCTGTGATGGAATGGTACGGGTTTCATGGAAATGGGTTGGTATTCAGTGTACTCGGGATCCAAGTCAGACAAAATAGGTTCATGTGTATCTTATCTAAGGAAAGATCAAAGTATGTGCTTGGATATAATACAATCAGAGAGAGAATCATTACAATTCAGCTTTACATAAATCCAGTTAAAAAGCAGATCATATATGTTTATGCCCCTCTGAAAGCAGCTGATACTGCCATAGTTCAGTTTGAAGAGACATTCATTTAAATACCAAACAAAGTCATCATCCTTGTAATTGGAAATTTGAACTTGAAAGTTGGAGCTGTAATGGGAAACAATGGTCTGTATTTACAAAATGAGAGGAAAAGATGTTTAGTTGAATTCTGCTGCTCTAATCTTCTGGTCATTACAAACAAAATCATGTCCACCATCTTAGATGTTTGTTTACATGGACATCACCTGATGGCATGACCAATAACCAAATGGATTATGTAATAATAGAGGGATGCTGGAGATTGAGTGTGTGCGCAATGAATAAACACTTTCTTAAGAGCAGACTGCAGGTCAAGTTTTCAAGTATTATCTTGAAACCTAAAATTTAAAACTGCATCTGTCCCAAATGAGCAAAAACTACATGACTTCTTTTCTAAGCAAGTTGATCGTTGTCCTAAGTGAAAGAGGAGAACAACCAGAATGAACATTGGAATAAAATGAAAATTATCATGCTTAAAGCTGTAAGAGCACACATTCTGAAAAGTCAGGATTGGACTGTACCATGGTTAAAAGGTGTTTGAGCTTTCAAAAAACAATGCAGAATGAATGTTTGTCTTGGAGACTAAAGAATATAGGAGAGAATACAAGGTGTACTGAGTAGGTAGATTCAAAAGCAGACTAGAGAAGCTGAGTGAATGCATCAGGAAAAATCCTAGGAATCTGAGACGTCTAAAGATAGTAATAATACATAAGGGATGTTCACAGTGGTCAGACATCTTACTAAAAAGTTTTCCCTGCTACCAAGCATAATAAAACATCATGAAGGCAGAGTTCTTACGGAAGGTTATATAAAATGCAAATAGAGATTATTGTGCTGATCTGCATGCCTCCTCAGAGCCACTTATAATAAAGGAAAAAAGTACAGCACCATGAATCCCTCAAGAGAAAGTGGAATATGCTATTATGAAAATGAAGCCTGACGATGCACCAAGGGGTATATAGAGTACCAGCAGAATTGCTAAAAGTGAATAGTGACCATAGTATTGATTTCACATGGAAAATTTGTGGTGATTATGGATTTCTAGAAATTGGCAAATTGGCCAAACAGCTGGACCAAGAGACTATTTCTGCCCTTATCAAAGAAATGGGATATAACAGAATGCAGTAATTATCATACTATCTCCTTGATATCAAGTGCAAATGAAGAGATGCTCTACATAATTCAGGATTGAATGAAGTATATGATAGAAGCAGAACTGTCACCACAAACACCTGGTATTAGAGAGGAAGAAGGCATACTTGATCGAATCACAAATATTTGTCATTTTATTGAAAAATGCGGGGATTAAAATCACCCATTGTTTGTTTCATTGATTGCTATATTTGATACCATATGATAGCACCCTCCATGTAGAGCACCTTATTTTCAATAAGTTCAACCTCTACTGTCAGCATCAGGCCAGAGTGCAAACAGAAATGGATAACAGTCAATGGTTTTCAGTTGACTGAAGCCATGCCTATACTAGGTAAAGGTCAAATCTATTAAAGTCAGTTTCTGACCACCTGATTTTGTAAAGTCAAAGGTCCATGTCCCCATTATGTGCAAAAATTCAACATAGTTTGAAGTAGTGCATCCCCTGTAGGGAGACTGCAGTCAATTTTGAGAGCGATGGACTGTGGGAAGCTATCCCACACTGCCTATGCCACATTTCATTCTGGGTTATAATCATGGTGTATGCTGACTAGGGATGTTAGTGCATAGTCAAGTAAACGATTAACCTGTATCAGAAGCAGAAAGGGGGGAGGGGAGCAGGAGCCAGTGGCTGTGAGGAACTAGCTTTAATCAGGCTCCACATGAGCACCAGATACGCCTGCTCCCCACATCTCCCACATTGCTGCCTCTGATAGAGAAGCAGCAGCATGGAAGGTGAGGGGGACAGGCTGGAGCAGATATGCACGGGGAGCTGGCCTTGTGTGCCGCCCCCCCCCCTTGCTGCTTCCTACAGAGGCAATGAGGGAGGGCAGGCAGGAGCCAGTGCCAGGAGGAGCTGGTTTAAAAGCTGGTTTCTCCCCAGCACCAGCTCCATGCTGCTGCCTATTCCCTCCCCCACCCCGCCATGCTGCTGCCTCTATCAGAGGGGGAGGGGCGGAGGGAGAGGATGAGTGGCAGGGAAGGCTGCCATGAAGAAGCCTCTGTCAGCAGTGAGCCTCCTCCCTCCCCCCATCCCGCCCCCACAGACAGAGGCTGGTCTATGGCAGCAGCATCTGTCTGTGGGAAGCTTGGATCCCCCATGTACAGGGGCTGCTGCCACGGACCAGCCTCTGTCTGCAGAGAGCTCAAACTCCCGCGGACAGGAGCTGCTGCCACCCCAAGATGCTGCTTTTGTAGCAGAGGCAGCAGTGCAGGGCAGCAGGTTTGCATAGGGAGCTTGTAGACCAGTTCCTGCCTGGAATGCTGCCTCTGATGCAGATGCAGCAGCAGAAGGTGGCGTGGGGCTCCCCGGCAGTGGGGCCAGGAGTCTACTAGCTGCTGGCCCCATTCGTGGAGACTATCGAATAGTTGTGTAACCACTAAGATGTCATGCAATTACACGACTATTCAATTACACAATATCTAACATCCCTAATTCTGACAGCAAAACTGTGCAGTGGGTGGTTCTGGGTTCATGTCATCAGCATCTCATACTGCGCTCATCTATTCTCTTCCCCCCCTCCCCCCACTTGACATCAACAATAAACCATTTTTTCACCCCTTTTTGGCCCTGGTTACCTGCACAAATGCCATAGCAGCACGAGCAGGGTCCCTCCTTGTATTCATGAAAGCATTATGATGTTGATGTCTACCTTGGTGCGCCTAATGGTGGAGTACATTGGGGGCATATGCATGGCACTCTAGGAAGATGAGGGGGAATCATAGGGTGCCATCGGCATGCTGTTCAGGCAAGCCTATGATTTGAATAAATTGGAAACACAGCTGGCAATCGATCCTCTGAAAACAGTGGAATGCTGGCTCTCATGCTGTCAGACAAGAACAGACTGGTATGACCGCATAGTGCTGCAGGTATGGGACGATCGGCAGTGGCTAAAAAACTTCTGAATGCACAAGGCTACTTTCATGGAACTTAGTGAATGGCTTTCCCCTGCCCTGAAGCACAGGGACACCCGAATGAGACCCGCTTTGACAGTGGAGAAGCGCATGACAATTGCCCTCTGGAAGCTTGCAAGGCCAGATACCTATTGGTCAGTTGGGAATCAATTCAGAGTGGGAAAATCTATAGTGGGGGCTTCTGTTATACAAGTACAGCCGCTCCCTAAGTTGCGAACGGTCGACTTAACGACCGTTCGCACTTATGACCAAAGCTCCCATTGAGCGGTCGTAAAGGCGGTCCCCGAGTTACGAACGCGACCCGCGCTTATGAACAGCGCGGTCGTGTGTAACTCAGTGGGGTCCAAGTTACGAACAGCTCAAGTTACAGCCAAGTGTTTGGTCCGTAACTCGTTCGTAACTTGGAGAGAGGCTAGAGCTAAAGCAATCAATATGATTCTGCTACAGAGGGTAGTGACGCTGGGAAATGTGGTTGCTACAGTGGAGGGCTTTGCTGCGATGTGGTTCCCTAACTGTGGTGGGGCACGTCCCCCTCTTGGCCCCTGACCTCCATGCCAAGAAGTACATAAATTGCAAGGGGGTAATTCTCAATGGTGCTGCTGGCACTGGTGGATTTCAAGGGCCGTTTCACCAAAATAAATGTAAGATGGTCAGGAAAGGTGCATGAGGCCAAGAACATCAACTTTCTTAATGCTGGGTCTATACTACCGTAAATTCGACCATGCAAGGTTGAATTTTGCATTATTCCTTGTAAAAGCAGGAGTACCAGAATCAACTTCAGTGGTCTTTAAAGTTGATGGAACGGGCTTGGTAGTGTGGACTCATTCAGAAATTCAACCTTGTGCAGCTAAATTCAAACTAAACTCTTAGTGTAGACCAGGCCTAAGAGACAAGGGTGCATTCTCTTCCCAGATTTTTCGGGGGTTAGGTGCATGCAGAACGTATTAAAATACAAGCCCAGGAAGGTTTTGATAAAGTGGAAGGAGCTGGAATTTCTATTGGTGGATCCTTCTTTACCAGCCTCAGATCGTGCTGCTGCTGAGAAACTCTGTTGCAGCTGTCAATTCTATGCAGCAAATAAAACAGGTTGTAAAAACAAGGTAGTAAGGAATATGAACTGTTCCTCAATAGGGCAAAAATGAAATGCATGTATGTTGACACAATCAGTAGCAACAGGATACAAGTGTGCATTGCGATTAAAAGTTAAAGCTATGTAAGTAGTAGGTGAACTTAATTATCTGGGATAATACACATCTAACAGGCTACTCCAAAGAAATGGGAATGCCTTGCTATGGCCTCACTTACAAAGCGATGGGAAAACTATGGCATCTCAAAATGCATGAAGGTTTGACTGATTTTAAAAAGCATATTTTTTCCGTAATGACTTTTGGATGTGAACCCTAGGAAACAGATGTTAGTGACAAGAAAAAAACAAAACCTCTGAAATGTGATGCTGGCATAAGATCTTGTGAGTTGTCTTTTCCAGCCAGGAAATAAAGCTTATGTTAGAAGTATTATTGGAGAGAAGTGGACTTTGTTTAAAAAACCAACAGGCACAAACTTATGTACTTTGGTCACATCAATGCACTGAAATGGAAATAACCTTGAGCAAATTATCATGGAAAGATTGGTGGCAGATCATTGTAGTAAAGGATGACCATCAAGTACATGAGTAGATAATGTGTGACAGATCAGAGTGAGTTTAGCTGCTTAGTGTGAGATTAGATTGAGATGACTTCCAAAAATTCTGCTATATTACCCGTATTCAGGCATCAATAGATAACTCTACTTACTTACTTTAGTTTTCTAATCCTAAAGAAGGATGCATTATATTGTCAATATTTTGATGGATAAGTCTGTGTATGGGCAGCAATACGGCTGCAGTGAAAATCTGAAAGGCAAGGAAAAAATAAACTCGCATGATGTTTGTTTGAAGTTTGTTGTCATTAATGCTTCAGTAACTTTCTTCATTAAGAGCAATTTTATGTTGTTACATTAATTTATTTGAATATGAGTAGTACTATAGAAAACTGTTGGAACTAAAAAATTGTTCATCCCAAATTATACCCATTGTCTGCCTAGGAAGCCAATAGAAAGCAAGAGCTCCATGATTATGCTAATTCAACACAAAAGACTGAAAAGACAGAGTTTGAGTAAGAAATAATAATCTCTTGGCCCTACTCTCAGGTTAAAAACTTCTTTTAAGACCCTAGTTCAAAAAGGTACTTCATTGGGATTGTCTGCATTCTTAATGTTTAGGCATGTGCCTTAGACCACACTTGGAAAAACTAACTTGGGTTTCGTCAATTTGGATCTTTTATAGTATCTTCTATGATAAAAACTGTTATCACAGCACTAAAATTGGAACCGGATTCCAAAACCACCCATGTTAAAATCATATTTACAGTTACTTTTGCTTTTCCAACATGACATCTCCATGACTCTCATTTAAAAAATGAGTTGGCCAAATACTAACAATATAATATTTTACCACAATATGGCTACCTCTTGCAGATAATTGGAGGTTACAGGAATCAGGGATTGGACACTAGATGTTGGTGACAAACACAGACACTTCTTTGTACTGAATTTTGTTGTACTTTGCTTTTCAAAATTAGAAATTCACCCATATATGAGCACATGCTAGTTCTGAAGTATAATTATGAAATATGAGCCTCTAAGTCCACTTTGGCTAATATTAAATTGGCAAAATGCTCAAATGTCCTGATATTTATAAGCAAAGTCAAGCCTGTAGAACTAGTTGGCAGCCTATACTCTTCCTGATACCGTCACAATTGGTACCTTTGTTAGTAATCTCACCCGAGGGACCATATATTGAAGAGTATCATGGAGCAAAGACACATAAGGTTTGAGATTGTTGGAGTGTAAAAAAAATAAAGCTATGTCTACACAGCGGCATTATTTTGGAATAACGTCATTCCAAAATAATAGTGTCTGCACAGCAAGCCATTATTTCGAAATAATGTTGAGCTGAAGGACTTCTTACTTCAACTCCTGTAACCTTTATTTCATGAGGAGTAAGGGAAGTCGAAGGAAGAGTGTTCTTCCTTCGACTTCCTGCTGTGTAGACAGCATGAAGAGCCAAAATAAATATTTTCACTTAAGCTATGCAATTGACGTAGCTGTAGTTGCGTAGCTTAATTCAACTTTAGCCCTGTGATGTAGACATACCCAAGAAATCAACTTTCTTTATATATGCTATTGCATCCACTGTTTGAGGTTCTTACTACATTATACATGCTGTGCTGCTGCCTCTTAAATGTAGTAAGAGCGAGGCTGGGATCTAACCCCACTACGGCATTCCAGTTTCCCCCCTTCTCAGCTAACTGAGTAGTTGATGGAAATTCCATCAACTATTTAATTAGCTGATTAAACAAAATTTAACATTCTTTGCATGCAGCACAATATACTTCTGTAGACTATGGCTTAGAACACCTTATGTCCTCCTTTCTGGACTCTTTTTGTGGAGGTTTCTGACCCTGTCCCATGTATTTCTGGCATGCTCCATGATGTAAATTATTTTTTGGAAAGGCCAATGTATTGAACGTCTCGTTTAATGTAGACCATAATATGCCACTTGCAGTTGTGAAAAAAGGACACTTAAAAGGTAGCTTATTGCCAAAATCAAAGGCAATAAGCAAACTTCAACCCATGATTTGCTTTTCCTGTGAATATCAGATACGTATAGGATTAAAAGATATTCTAACGTTGCATAATATTCAGTAAAAAAAAATAGAATCACATGTGTTTGTGATAAGAGGTGTTTAACTTTACATCTAGGTCTTTGCATTTTATGTAGGTGATTTAAAACTTTGGCAAAGATTCTCTCCTCTTACTGCTCAAGTATAAAATAGAATTGTTCTGCAATAACAAAAGCATTCTCTGTGGAACTTGGATCTGTAGACTCTTTACACATAACAAGCATATGGTAATGGAAAAAAATGGACTTAAATGATGATGGACTTTCTCTTTAGTATTAGCAGAAGCATGTATCTCTGTTTGCCAAAAATTTAACCTTATTTTCTGCAAGCTCTCGATTCTTATCTTCAACTACAGTATGTTAGACTCTCAGGGCACGTTCTGGAAGTTGATTTCCTGGTGTTAGATTTAGTGGATCAAGTAGAGCCCCATAAATCAAATGCTGAGGGCAGCTCCTTCTGGCGTTTGTACTCCTTGCAGTCACAAGGAGCAAAGGAAGCCAACAGGAATGTTTGCTCCTGTCAGCCTCCCACTGTGTGAACACCATCAAAGTTTGGCATAAAGTAAGGTATTTCACATAGCTGGAGTTTCGTACCTTAAGCTGACCTTTCTGTTCTAGTGTAGACCAGGCCTCAGTGTGTTAATACCAGTTAACTAATTAAACATTTTTTAAAATTGATTTTAAAAAGTGAAATCCCCTACTTTAGAGATCAATTTTAAGATGTTACCAACTTAAACTGGCTTATGCCTTGCTTATATTAATTTAGCTTCAGTGTGTATACATGTAGGTGTCTGCATCAGTTGAACTAGATTTTAAAATAGATTTAGTTAATCTAGTTAAACTGGTGCATTTTTTAGTATGTTCCTGGACAAGAAAAGGAGGGAATGAAGATCTAAGAACATTATCTCAAAGGTAACTTATGTACGTTCACAAAACACCAAAGCTTTAAGTCAATGAAGATGTGAGATCTGCACATTGTGGTGTAGTGATTGGGGCAGAACAAATAACTTCTTTTAACACTCATATTGGGTGCTGGAACTCAACTGATATAAGTAAGAATATGGATCTGATCACATTTGATGAGTCTGTATTCCTCTTAAGTGTCTACTTTTTATAGTATTTTAGGGTATGTCTACACTAGCCCCCTAGGGAGGCTAATGTAGGCATTTGAAGTTGCAAATCAAGCCCGGGATTTAAATATCCCACACTTGATTTGCATCTTCCCGGACGCCATTTTTTAAATGTACAAGTCTGGACTAACTGTCCGCATCTACACACAGCAGAGACCCAGTATTTTGAATTAAAAGCCCTAAATTGAACTACCTGTTATTCCTCCTGCAAGGAGGTAGTGCAAGGGGCTTTAATTCGAAATAGCAGGCAACTTCGAATGCCTACATTAGCCTCCCTAGTTCGAACTAGGGGGCCAGTGTAGACATACCCTTAAAGACTGACTGCAGGAATCCCATGACACTGCTAAGTAATGCACAGCAGAGATGGGGAATGGTTGCAACTTCATCATATGCTGATGTGTTTCTACATGTAGATAAATATAAAAATAAAATTTTAATTATGCTTTAAAAATCTAAATCTAAAATTTTAGTAGCTTACACAGAAGCTATACCCATGCTAAGGCCCTTATTCAGTTTATGGGAATTACACACCTGTACCTGGAAAATGTAATCTGAATTACCTTCCAGATTCTAGTTCATTGAATTGAGCTTTTTTTTTTTTTTTTTTTAAGCAAGAACAGGCTTAAATTTGCTAAACTGAAGTGCAGAAATAAAAAATGAATTCCCCATGGAAATCACATCCTTAGCTAGTGTAAGTCTGCATAGCACCATTGATTTCAGAGGATCTGCCCTATCATATTAAAAGAGCTCTAGTGTAACCGTTTGTAACAATTTCTGAGGGAACATAATCATCCAAATGGACAATTTACATCCCAACTTCCTGCTCCATGTGAGAGGGAATAAGCAAAAGCATTGTATCTCTGTTGTTTAGGCAAAACCTCACCAGTCCTTAATGTATTTCCCAGTAATTTTTACTCAGCGGTTTAAACGACCATTGGCCAGAACTTGGATAATATCCAAGCCAGTTCCCTCAGTTTTACCCAAGTCTTGCAAGAAAAAATATTTGTTCAGAATAACTTAAGAAGTTCTACTAATTGAACAGAAATATGACTTAAAAGTATTTGGCTTCTGTTCAACAAAGTGCTTAAGTCTTATGACTATTGTACTCAATTAACTTTTGCTTAAGCATGTTACTGAATTCAGATCCTTAAAAGGATTTTATGGATTGCTATGGATTGCAGAAAGCAGATATCAGTAAATATCTAAAACAATAGAAGTTTTTAATGGAAGAAAGAAACTGCTAAATAGATTTGGGATAATTATTACCAAGGACAGTTAGTTCTCCCAAAAAAAAAGGGGGTGGGAACGGCTATATTTTGGTAATTCTTAAACTGCAGACAGCATTTGATTCCTGCCAAGAAGAGCAACTGAATTAATTATGCTTCTGATCAGATCTAGGTGAAAAAAAAATTTTTTTTTTTTTTGAGAAAACTCTTTTTGAAAAAAAAAAGGTGGGTTCAGCAACAGTAGAATGTTTTGTAAATTCATGTCTGCTTTGCTTAAAAGTTATTTCTTGAGAGTGGTGGGAATTCTAAAAGTCAAAATGCTTTGTTTCAATTTTTTTTCGATTTACACTGCTAAATGAAAGATCATTTGGAAATGTCCTTTTTTATTTTTAAAATGTTCCAAACTATTAAGCTAGAAATTGAAACAAACTGTTTTGTTCAACTTCAAATGGATTTGACTGATTGATTTTTAAATTGCACAGGCACAGGGACAACTGTTCATGAAGAAAACAGCAGAGACGCTGGATTTAATATCTGCGTTGTGCAATCTCTATGAATATTTGATGCTGATCCTTCTTAAATTGATGCTCTTGCACATACGTGACACATTTTTAGTAACTTTTCTTCCAGCTTGAATGTATAACATACTTTTTTTTATAAATCCATTACTGAGAAACTCTGTTATCATTACTACAAAGTGAGATTAGACTGGCCCTAATTGACCAATGTCGTTTTTTGTTCAGATAAAACAATATTTTGTATCTATTCATTTTTGGCCCATTCGTATAAGTTGACCCCCAAAATGTATAGGTAAAAATGGCAACAAATGTCTGACCATTTCATAAACCAATCCTGTATTTCAGGGGGTGGCTTCTGACCCATGGGTGAACCGTGGTGAACCGTGGCAGCCAGCACATTCCACTGCATGTGCCTCTTCTCACAGGTCCCATTGGCTGGGAATGGTGAATTGTAGGCTCTAGGAGCTGAGGGTCTCTGTGCCTGTGGACTCTCCAAGTAAACAAAATGTCCCAATCCACCAGCAGCTTACCCTGAGAATGGGGAGAGCATATAGCACCCCTTTCAACATGCCATGGAAGCATCATTCTAGAGGTTGCTAGAGGTGCTCCCCTGTGGATACTGCTAAGGGAAAAAACTTCCAGTATTGATGCACGTGGCAAACACACACATCTACTGTGGAATGGCCAGCCACTGGGAACCGCGATTATTATGTTGGGGGCAGGGGCAGTGCATGAAGTCTCCTTCGCCCCTCTTCCCCAGCACAGCATGCAAAGTAAGGCTGTTAAATTGTGGTTATCTGGC